GGGAATAGTCTGGATGAAAGCACTCACGTGAAGCTACCTTTGGTGGCCTGGGCTGGACAAAGATATTGAGGCTCAGGTATACAGCTGCCACATTTGCCAGCAATCTAGGCCAGAGATGCCCCACACCCCAGTCCACCGATGGGAAACCACACACGCCCCCTGGTCCAGGATCCACATTGATTATGCAGGGCCTTTCCAGGGACAACTCTTCCTCATTGTGGTGGACAGTCACACCAAGTGGTTACAGGTCGCACCTGTCCCCACTATGACTACTGCCAGGACCACCCAGGAGCTGCCAGAATCTTTGCCACACGCCTCAGAATTTAAGTCCTTTTTAAGGGCTAATATGATCAGGCACGCCACATCAGCCCCCTTTCACCCGGCCTCAAACGGCCAAGTGGAGCACATGGTTTGAACAACTAAAGAATTCTTGAAGAGGATAGTAACTGGTAACTGGCAACACAGACTGGCAGATTTCCTACTCTGTCAACGCACCATCCCATGCACATCCACGGGCAGAAGCCCAGCAGAATTAAGATGGGGCCGGCGTTTGATCACAAAGCTGAATTGTTTATATCCAGATAGAGTTGCCTCACAAGCAACACAGCCAAAGGCACCACGGCACTTGCAAGTTGGCGACCTGGTCTGGGCAAGGAACTACGGACAAGGGGCATTGTGAGTGGTAGCTGTGGTTTGTAAGGTGACCAGGCCACTTTCGTACGAAGTGGTCCTAGAAGACGGTCGCATGCTATGCAGGCACATCGACCAACTGTGGCAGAGGTTAGCAACCCAGCCAATAACTCATGACTCTTGTGACAGTCAAACTCAGGAGCAGCACGATGGCAGTAGTGCATCAGATGCTGCCAGCAATGGCGGACCTCTCCGATTAAGGGACAAGACTCAAGCATCTGGTGAGTGGGTCCCAACCACTGATACTGAAACCAATGGGCAATGCCATCAGACGGCTCCATTTTCAGGACTAGTGGACTCTGTTCCACCTGTGGACACTGGCTCTGGCCTACCAGGACAGCCCAGCCACAGAGACTTGAGTTTACCAGTGATGGATGGATCCCATAGTCCCGGTCTTCCAAGCCTGGCAGGTGAGCTGACAGACCGGGGGCCTCCAGCAGTTCTGAGGCATTTGGAACAGGCAAAAAGGTCATCAACATATTTAAGGGAACATGTTCAACAAATGTCCTTATGAACTATCTAGGGAGAAGGGGTGTAATGTATTGAGGTGAATTACTTGGAAATGTTGAAAAAATGGTCATAAGACTCTGTCAGTTAAGAGCCAGACTTTCTGTCTACATGCTAATTACTTGTGTTAAAAGCAGGAACTAATACTTGAATCCTATTGGCCGCTGCCTAGTTGCTGAGTGTATAAATAGGGGTGGAGCGGCAGTTATCCAGGCTTCTGATTAAACCTTAAATAAAGAGTTGTTTGTTCACCTGCTGCCTTGTCGATGCCTCACCGAGCACCAAACTTAACAGTATCCATGGTAGAATGAAAATTAAAGGCAGGCAGTCCCAGGAGTCAAAACTGACTGGAAGGCAAACTGCCCCCCAATCTCTTTAAACTAGCTTTGAATCAAACACTTCAAAGTACATAACTGTTGCCTTTTGAACATAAAGTTAGTCCTCTTAGTCACAGATATCTGTGACTATAAAAACTACCGTATTTTCCAGCGTATAAGACGACTTTCTAAACCCTGAAAATCTTCTCAAAAGTCGGGGGTCGTCTTATATGCCCAGTTGTCTTATACGCCGGAAAATACGGGTATTCTATTTTATTCCTTTACACATGTGGTTTGGCATATTACTCATCAAGTTTTCTCTCCCCCCCTCTCTCTCGCTCAAACTCTATATTTTAACTGGAAAAGTTGGGGGTCGTCTTATACGCCCTGTCGTCTTATACGCCGGAAAATACGGTAATAGGAAAATTCCCATTGATAAAAGAGACAGTAAACTGTGTGTTGATTTAAACAATGTCTTAGGCCAGACATGTCCAAAGTCCGGCCCGCGGGCCATTTGCGGCCCGCGTTCCGGTTTAATACGGCCCTCTAACAGTTCTGCTTGAGGGCAGTGTGCATGCTTGACTCAGGTCTAATGGGACCTGAGAAAGAGAAAGAGAGAGAGGAGAAATTCCGCTTCCGACCTGTGCTGGAGGTTCGCATGCTATTCATGGCCTGAGGTGCGGTGGCGTTTTAAAAAAAGCTGAGGTGGACTCCCGGAAGGCGAATCTTCCTCCTTGGCCTCGTGGCCCCTGAAGCAGCCATAAGGATTAAACCGAGGATTGTAATATTGCAACATCCAAGGGGGGGTTATACTGCGCGCCATGTCTCTCATATGCTCCAGTGAGTGACCCGCTTTCTCCTTGGCTCCCGTTCTTCCTTCCCGCACAGCTGCAGCCTCGCACAGAGGGGGAAGGCGAGAGAGAGAGAGAGAGAGAGACAGGCTGGCTCCCCTTTTAGCAGCAGGACAGCAGCAGCAGCTTTGGTGGTTAACTATGACAGTTTCCGAGTATTGCTCTGCCTGAGGGCTTGTAATGTTCACAGTGGGATCGTATTATGGTCACTGTTGTAAACTGCAGGTAGACCTAGGTATGAGCTGAGAGGTTGTCACAGGACAGGAAAAGAAATCCCCCCCCTCTTCAGAAGGCAGGACAGCAAAGAATGGATTCAGTATTCCGTTTCAGTGTTAGGAAGAGAAAAACCCTTCTTCACAGTTTGGTACCTGGTCTCTGAACAGTTCCTAGATCAGTGTTTCTCAACCTTGACAATTTTAAGGCATGTGGACTTCAACTCACAGAATTCTGGGAGTTGAAGTCCACATGCCTTAAAATTGTCAAGGTTGAGAAACACTGTCCTAGATGA